TGAAGTCATAATAATATTAAACTGCAGTAATCACGTACAATAAGCTCTGTGAACCGCACAACTCATAAACCTACATTCAGAGATACAGGATTAATCTTAATTAACAGAATTTGGTCAATGCATTGAATATTACTGACACCTTGTAACTCAACATTACAATATAACAAGTTGGTTCCATGTCCACTTAAAACAAGTATTTGGATTAACTAAGTATTTAATTAAAAAAACTCATTGTCTTATTTTAGGTAACAAGGAATTATTCTGGACCGTATCTGAACTTAGGAGAAATTAATCTAATGCTTTATGTTTGTGATGACAGCGATGTATTCTGATATTTCGCTGCTACTTTGATCGCAAGAGACACGTAGTTTTGAACTTCACAATCAGGATTTAAAATGTTCTCAAAAGATGTTCATGTTTATTACTGTTAACATATTAAATCTTGAAAAATGCAATTTTTTAAAAAGTCACTTAGATTTTGAAGCTTTATAAAATGGTAGAAAATACCACTAAAATTTGTAAATGTAATAGGGTTAATCGTCAAAAATAACATTTGGACCGAAAAAGACCAAATACCAGCCCCGATCCTCTTGCAAAAACAGTTTAAATCCATAATTTACATTTGGCAATGAATGTTTGTCGTGGGAGGTCACAGTCTTGACATGCAAAGGCCTCGCGAGAGCACTATCTGCAAACTGCATGTAGCTCGATAGTTTAACTTTTAATGAATGCCGATTAAGTCAAAACATTGTTTACACAGGGTTCATTCCTACCACGTCACATGAAGTAGGTTTATTAATTTAACTCTTGAATTCTCTTAATAAGCATATAGCTATGTTAAAAATGATTTACTGCCACATTACAAATGAACTAATTGTAACCTGGTGACATAAAATATCTGCTCGAGATGTAAGAGCTTGATGATTTTATTGAATTATCAGGGTCCATAAGGAATATTTACAAAGCGTTGTCATGACAACAACTAGGATTATCATGACAACGACTAAGGTTCTACTGCAATTGCTGGAACATGGTGTTAGTGAATGATATCGAATTTCTGAATCGCTGGGACATAATATTCAAACCTTATCACTGTAAGCAGTAAGTACTCATTCTAAATAGTAGCAGTCGCGTACGCCGTACACCTATTATATAAGCTTTTAGCTTAGTGCTTCTGAGACAGCACATATCCTCAAATATATTATCTGTCGCCAAATTCATACATAAATTCTTTAGAAGAGAGCTATATGTAAGCTGGTATAGATCATTAACCAATTACTCCCCACATCATTGCCCATTATCCAATCAAACTCAAGGAAACAGTTCTAATGTCATCGTTTATTTAACTATCAGCTCTTTAAAAGGTAATTGGGCAAAGGACAGAACTCTAACTTATCTCTATCTTCAGAAATTAACAGATAGAAATAAAACCTAGCATGGCATGCCCTGGTTGCAGCATCGCTTGGCTTAAAGGTGCAATTGATGTAATTGCTATGACCAGTTTACTGGTCATCTGGTGTTTCGGTGTCCCTAATTTTTTTACACCTGGTCACTTGTAAAGGCATGTACAGGTCTTTCGGCGAATTTTTACCACTTTTTAAGTCTATGATTATAAAATAACAGTATGAAAAAAAGTGAACAATTTCTAGTAATTTAGGCATCATAACATACCCGTGATTTCCACCAAGAGTTTCTTGTTGAAGGAGGGTTTCATTGACGTCTGCCATGAACAAATTGTGGTGGTTGTAACTTGCTTTTATGATAAAGTCTAAACTATCCCGAGGTGCCTGAATAATTAACAATTGAATGTTGAGCAATTGCATTATCTAATTTTCCTAAGTCAAAATATTTATTCTGCGTGCTTTGCACATAAGCAATAACACTGGAAGTTCATCCGATCTGTGAGAGACATGACAAGCAATTACAATGACACGTTGTTGTACTGCAAGTATTATATTGCGAACAAATGTAATACATAGTGAACAGCCTAACATGCATAAGTTTGACAGATCTCCACGTTTAATTTTAACAATACAGTAGGTCAACTGAGTAACTGGAGTGGTTTTCATGAATGTGCAAATCTGCACGCTGTCAATTTATGCAAGATTCCTGATTCAATCAATCAATGCATACCTTTGGATCGTAATGCATGACTCCCTGTCTTCCACTGGATAGGGTCTGTGTACTGTAAAGTCTCTGCCATGGATATGATTTTTGACCCAGCGATTTCTTGTGCAGCGGACCCTCCAAGGGAGCCTGAATATATGAAAGATATGTAAAAATATTAGGTTACACCGACAGTGCAAGCGTGGATACGCATGCGGTCGGTTGATTCATTACTTTATTAATCTAAACGTATGTACATTGTACATAATGTCATAGTGGGGAAAGATCCAAGTACTGTGCGACGTGCGTTGTTGCGTACGCTGTTAAGATATTAGGGTTCAATTTCATGGCTGTCGTGGCAAATATCTTGCTGAACCTATATTGGGGGGGGGGGGGGCGTCACGTCCGTCTATGTCCGCCTATGTCCTGTCCTTTTTGGATTCTATGAGACAACGGACGTGTTTTTTGGGACATTTGCGGACCCGGACGGACATTGGCGGACTCGGACGGACATTGGTGGACATTAGCGGACATTGGTGGACATTAGCGGACAAACATTGTGAGAATTTTTCGCAACTTCTATGCATTATAATTTTGTACAAAACAAACGACTTATTAATCACACTAAAGCTATTAATAGCTTTAACTTATTATATCAAATTATATAGGGACCCAGGAAAAGGCCCCAGGAGGAGGAGGAGGAGGAGGACTGGGGAGGAGGAGGACTGTTGAGGACTGATGAGGAGGACTGAGGACGAGGAGGAGGAGTAGGAGGAGGACTGAGGAGGGGAGGAGGAAGAGGACTGAGGAAGATCAGGAAGACCCAGGAGGAGGAGGAGGAAGAGTAGGAGGAGGAAGCATCTAAATGTTATTTCCATTTACCCGCTTTATTTTTTGTCCGTTTTGAAAAGATAGGGTACCGAACGGACAAAAAACATGATCCCCCTATAACAGCAAAAATTGAACATTTTATTTAGCAATTTAGGTGTCCATTAATGTCCGCTAATGTCCGTATATGTCCGACTATGTCCGCCAATGTCCGTCTATGTCCGCCTATGTCCGTCTATGTCCGTCTATGTCCGCCTATGTCCGCCTATGTCCGCCTATGTCCTGTCCTTTTTGGATTCTATGAGACAAGCGAACATAGACGGACGTGACACCCCCTATATTACAACTTTCATGTCATTGTCATAAAAATAAATAATCTTACCGCCATGGTGTCGATGTTTCTGCAGAAAGTCTTGTCGTTTTCAAATCTTGGGTGTGAATAGGGATATCTACCCATGACCTACAGTGAGTGGACAAGTCAACAGAAATAGGATTAATATTGTATTTGGAGATAATAATGCTTAAATATTTATATTTGTAAAAGTTAAATTAGAAGGAATTAAGGAAAAATATGATTTCTATAAGTATTGTGAATGGATGTTATTTATGGAATGTTTCAAATTGAGTGCTTGGAAGAATTAAATTATGTTAGTAATAAAGAAAAGCATAACGAATATTTTTAAAGGTTCAATCTTCATATCGCTATTAAACGTTTAATTAACTTATATATTAGTGAAAAGCTTAATTAGCTACATTTTTATGGGTCTTCGTACGTATGATGATGTTTATGTCATTGTTATTTGATTTTGTTTTATTTCGGTTATTAAATCGTTATGATAAAATCAAAATTGGGGACTAATACGATTAGTCCCAAACAGCTCCAGACAACTTGTGCCTTAGTTGTCATTTATTTGTAGTGTTACTTGAGCTAAAGACGTATCGTGAAAGTTCACTATGTCACCGTCTCAAAAGGGGTAAAATTGACATCGGACGGCCAGATAAAAAGTAACCTTTCTGCGATTCGAAAACAATCGTACTGGTCTGAAGGCATACAGATTTGTGAGCCCAGAGAAGATACAAGGCCTGAACATAACAAGAAGCGGATTTGCTTCGTTAGTGCAGTAGAATGATAATAAAGGCGAATGTGTTTACTGAGGTTGCGGAGAGACAAAAAGTTCAGCTGTAAGGCAAAATTAGGACTTACGTCCACATGCACAACGCATCGTCCTGAAAATTGTTAATAGTAACATCCAGTGCCGAAAAATATAAGCGCGCGCACAAAAGACATAAATGTGTTTGTGCGCGGCATCTACATTTATGTACGTCTTCAGTTATCAATTTATCATTTAAATTTCGAAATGGTAAAGTCCAATTTTATAAATAATATTCTCGATGTATAACCGAGAAAAAATCAAAATAACAGCTTTCTAACTAAAATGTTTGAACTAATATACTCCTTCATAAACATTTTGTTTCTGTTTGCAAAAATAAACTAATTTATGATTCCATTGTGTGTTATGAAGTATTAACGCTGAACACAAAATTAAATCTGTCAAATAAAAAAAGGATGAATTGTCGATTTAAATCATTTTGTACACCTAATCAGTTGCACCAACTAAAAAATGTATATTGTTAATTGTTTATGATTTAAATTATAAATCATAAATGAGATTTTAACGCGCGCTTAGTTTGTTTTATTTACACTTAAAGTGCAAAATGGGAAATTTAACTGTTAACTTTATTTTTGAATGTCAAATAAATGTTAAATAAATACTTTATTTAATCCGGATACACAACACAACCGTTCGACGCGATATTACGTTTCGGTTTAATAAATAACTTTGAAAAATACATAAAATTAGAAAATATTACAACTATCGATATCCATTAAAACTTTTTTGTATTTTACTATACAATGTAAAATGTTACCACATACCATACCATACCAGTTCCTTTGTTTGTTTATAAAACCGGTCCCCAATCTCGTATTGTAAAATGACCCAACTCAATACTGAGTGTGAATACAAGTGGTACCTGTTTTCCTGGATGGCGCTCAGCCTGTCAGTACAGTAAGGTAAAATACCTGTTTTACTGGTATTATGTATATAATTTTATAAGCATAGTTTGTCAGTGCCGCGCATACGCTAACTGGATATTGAACTTTTGTACCTGTTTCAAAAAAATTGTTTCGCGTTGGATAATATTCGATCAGTTCAATGTGCGATGAGTCCATGCGGTACTATTTAAGGCTAGTTCAGCATCTACAGCTTAGCATCTCTGACTACTTTTACTCCGAACTTTGAACTTTGTTTATCTGCTTAACCATGGCTGACAACAAGAAACTTAACTACAAAGTCGGTAAGTTGACTGCGTCTTCTAAAGTTGATCTTGGATCAGCCTGCTGCTCGAATCGCTGCCCAAATCAGCACTTAGTTGACTTTTCTTTCGATCCTATCTTTAAACAAAATCTCGAACCATTATATCCGTGTATGCTCTTGTAAAAGTAATAAATTGAGCATTGTTAGTATATATATATATAGCTAAGGCTTGGGCAGCCTGCCACAAGCTAAAGAAGATGTGGAAGTCTGACCTTAGAAGAGGACTAAAGATCCGTCTATTTGTTGCTACTGTGGAGTCAATACTTCTTTATGGTTCTGAAACCTGGACGTTGACAGAGCAATTGAAGAAACGCATTGATGGCTGCTACACTAGAATGCTAAGGATGGCACTTAATGTGGATTGGAAGCAGCGAAAAACCAACAAAGAAGTCTATGGCAACCTACCGAGAGCAACCATGAAGATCCAAGAGCGCAGGATGCGACTAGCAGGCCATATCCACCGGCACCCAGAACTAGTCGCAAACCGCTTGCTACTCTGGGAACCAACTCATGGGGTGCGGAGTAGGGGGAGACCAGCCATGACCTATGTTGATAGCCTACGAGCTGACACGGGTCTCAACGACACTGGAGAAATGGGCGGACTTATGGCGGATAGAGTTTTATGGAGACAGCGCATCAATACTCGGACGCTGAAGCCGCCTTAAGTCAGTAAGTCAAGTCAGTATAGCCATTAACCCCACTTTCGGCCACGTTTTTACTCTTCGACTTTTCAGCTGACATCGAGCTCGCCGATTGGGGCCGCAAGACCATCGAAATGGCTGAGGTTGAAATGCCTGGTCTGATGATGCTTCGTAAGGAGTTCAAGGATTCCCAACCACTCAAAGGAGCACGTATCGCTGGTTGTCTTCACATGACCATCCAGACTGCTGTCCTCATCGAGACTCTCACTGCTCTCGGAGCTGATGTCCAGTGGAGTTCATGTAACATCTTCAGTACCCAGGACCATGCTGCTGCTGCAATTGCTAAGACTGGAGTCCCTGTCTACGCATGGAAAGGTTAGTAAATTGTTTGATAGCTAGGTCTAATATTATTTCGACAATGTTTTGCATATATCAATCAAATTCGCTATCAAATTTGGTGTCGAATTTCAGCACGGTTCTTCCTTCTCTTTTAAGAATTAAGATAACTTGCAAAGATATATAACTAAATTTAAACTTCTCAGGTGAATCTGATGATGAGTACGTTTGGTGTATCGAGCAGACCATTTTCTTCCCTGACGGACAGCCACTTAACATGATCCTTGATGACGGTGGTGATCTGACTGCTCTGGTTCACAACAAATACGCTCATCTTATTGATGGAGTCAAGGGAGTGAGTGAGGAGACTACCACAGGTGAGAATCTTTTTCTTCTTATTCGCAGGTTCTTTCTTCCTCATTAAATATACGGCTTTTGATGCGAATGAAGTTAACTTTTTCTCATGATGTCGTCATTGGTAACTATTGCGACTTCTGTTTCCAGGTATCCATACTCTCGTCAAAATGCACAAGAACGGAGAACTGAAGCTTCCTTGCATCAACGTTAACGACAGTGTAACAAAGAGCAAGTTTGATAACTTGTACGGATGTCGAGAGAGTCTTGTTGATGGTATCAAGCGAGCTACCGATGTCATGTTGGCAGGAAAATGCGCTGTTGTCGCTGGATACGGAGATGTCGGAAAAGGATGTGCCCAGGCTCTCAGAGCATTCGGAGCAAGAGTCCTGATCACAGAGATTGATCCAATCATTGCTCTTCAAGCCGCCATGGAAGGTATGGAATCAGTACTCTTACTTTTCTAATTTCTAATTTATTGAATAGTATTTAAGAACATGATCGTTGTCACAGTTGACTGAATCCATGTCATTCGGCACCACAAATTATAATGAGCCTGGCGTCGTACGTTCTTGGACTGCAACCTTGTATGATTATCGTTTGAATTTTATTTAGATTTAGATTTCCCAGAGTAACATTTGATTTTTCTTTCAGGCTACGAAGTAACTACAATGGACGAGGCTGTAAAAGAAGCTAGGATCTATGTGACTGCTACAGGAAACAAGAGCATCATCCGACCTTATCATTTCGAACAGGTTTGAATTCTTTGAGTTTCGGTAAACAGGTTTTAACAGGATTACCCATATTACACAACATAAGAGTTCGTGAATGTGAACTGTAATACCAATACATATTATGTAACGTAAGTATTCTTTACGCGTCTAATAAAAGACTTGATTACCAGACGCTGTGAAGTCACTGCATATTGCTTAGGTGCTCGTATTAATTAAGGTTATTGAGAACTACATTAACAGTTCACTCAATGACTATAAACCACGTACAATTAACAATCCCATCATGGGATGCGTTGGATAAGCGATGTTTGAGCCACCTGGCCGGTTCCCTTTGTACATCACCCCTCATACTAGACCTCATCATGATTGAATTCGCACACTGAATTGCTTTGAAGGACGCGGTGTTAAACTGTGAACAGTTCGTACTGCCAGGTGTAACTCTCCCTCAGGGAGTCTGTTAATTATATTAGAGGAGCTGTGTAACGGAATCAATGGTATAGAAGAGAATAAATTAATATTGTGTGAGACACATGGCCGCACCACAAATATACGGAGTGTTGTAATATTTTATTAGAGGTAATTCTCTTACTATTACATGCGATAATGTGTTCCGTGTCTGGAACTTAGAGCTAAGATGACCGTGTATTATAGTATATGCCTGTTGACTAAACTGTAATAGTGTGACACACATTTCCTGGTTACTTGATCCCCCACTCAGTAAATAAAATACAGTGCTTATTAAATCTGAATATAAGTCAACAAGTGAATACATAATAGGCTGCTCGACATTTCCTTGCATGCTCCGCAGGTAACAAAGAAAGCGCTACCTGGTAGTTAATGATGGAACTGTATTAAAAATTTCTGGCAAAACCCGAAATGATCCAATTGACTCAATAATAAGCGAAAATATGTTTTCTCGACAAAATAGACAATAATTCCCATGTTATTTTTTATCAAAATCTAAGATCAAGTTTGGAACCACCTCTCAGCCTCTGTACAGTTTGTTTCAGTAAATCTGTACCTTAAATAAGAAGGTCTTGACGCACTAATATCCGCCACACTTATATTTTTATCTTGATATTTGTGTCGCTGAATTCGCTTATCAGTCTGCAATCTTCCCTCTTCCTGCTTTCTATCTAACTCTGCCCTCTCTTCCAACATTTTGGAGCTGGTGAATTTCATCCTTGTGATCTTATCTTTCACCCCGCTTGATGCGACCTTGGTGTTTCTCCGGTCTTGGCGCTCCTCCGTGCGAGTCTGCTTTGCTTTCTCGAGGTTCCGTTCAGTGAACTGCCGCTGAGCTATCGAGTTTTCCTCCCCGCTTACTGTAAACCGTTTGTAAATGCGAGGATGAGGGTCTCTTAATTGTGTCTTCCACATCTGTTCATTTTCCTTGCAACTTATCTTCCTGTCAGCAAACTCTTCGTAAGAGAAGGGTTGAGCTAGACAGGAGCTGAAGTACGATTTATTTGATTTGGTGGAGGTTCGTATTCTGTCAGGAGATTTGGCTGGTTCGTAACCTATGGATCCATTGCTTCCTCTGCGTTCAGTCGCTCCTGGATCTGAGACTGCTGTTTTAGGTGGCTTTTTACGCTGCTGTTCGTTTCTCTCACGGTCCCATTTACGATGCAAGCTGAGTGCAGTCCTGCTGACTTTACCCCAGCTCCCGTCGACTTGGGGGACCTCTACGCCAGTCAGTCCTAGCTCGTTCATCAGCTCTGGTCCGATTCTGACTTCAGCGGGACGTGGCATTTTCTTCCTTTGCCGAGTTTTATCTTTTTTATCTCTTTTAGAGTTTTCACATGAATTCCCGGATGGAGTTAGGCAGTTAGGGGGTGAAAAAAGTTGAGGTGATAAACATGACTGATTTTCATTTACTTTTTCCTCTAACTTCTGTCTCAGTTCTTCTTCCATCCGTTTCTTCTCCTTCTTCATCGCATATTCTTCTTTTCGTCGCTTTATTTTCAATCGGATGTGATCATTGTATTGCCTCATGTCATGTCTCAACTCGATAAATTCCCATTTCAAAGCTCTCAAATTCTGGTTTTTCATCTTCTCCAGCTTGACCTGATCATTCTTGAGCAGGTTACCTGTATTAAGTTACCAGTTAAATCTCAGACAACAGGTTCTTCATTTACGGAAATCTCCTATTTATATACTTGGATAAAACCAGTTATTGATCTGTGCAAGAATATCATTACAAAGTAAGATAATCAGGAAACTACGATCACCTTCAATGCAGTTCTGTCTTATATTCATCTTCTGGTAAAAGCTCATGGAATTGGTCTGGAATCTCAGAACACCCCCCTCTTTGTCAAAGGGATCAAACATAACCGACGACCTGAAACAAACTTGTATAAACTGGTTTTACCCTTAACAAACAAGTTAACCGGATTACATCCCGTAATAATATTACTGCTCTGGTTGACCTGTTAGTTTTAAACAAATACGAGTTTTATATAATAAAATTTAACCAGCGTTACTTGGTATTGTGCTATGTGCGAGTTAAAAAAACAAATTAATCTCGTTTTTCGTGGACTAATGCAAGTTAAAATTTAATTTGGGGTCTGGAAGTTACACGGCTTACTTGAAGCAACGCTCTGCTACTCTCGCCAAACTGGGTTTGGTAAAGTGTTCCTTCGCCTTCATCCTGCTTGCTCTGTGAATAATTCGATTTTTAGGAGTGTAATGTTATTGAGCCTCAAAACCTGATTCGGTTATAGGATAAAGTTCCGTAATAAGCAAAATGTGACAAACGATCGAGATGAAGCACAATAATACGTGAAATGGTCTGTCCGTGCCACAATGATTGCAAATCGTCCAGAGTGATACATCTTATACTTTACATTTAAAGCCCAAACAAAGAAGGAAGTTTTAACTGAGAAACGTGATCAGCCGACCGTCAGCGAGGAATATTAAAACTATTTCTTATTCTCTATTTCTTCCCGAGTCGTCTCGTTAGATCTTGAAGAGTTCAGTTCGATCATGAGGCCGGTTTACCGGATGATGCACGTGTCATTTGACTCTTTTTATTAAATACTTTGGAAAATATTAAAACACTTAAACCCAGTAAGCTGGTAAGCAGCAAGTGGGCGTTAAATAATTACAAGTAGACAAAATTAAGCAATAAGCACGATCCGTTTTGCAAAAATGGCAGTGACCACCATATAGAATCTGCTTTCTTGCTATGTTTTCGTATGCTTACTATCAAAATCCCTAATCCAAGCCAATCAATCGACAAGTTTCATTAGCAACTATTTAAGTTTTTACATAGTCATCATGTCAATTATCCATTGTTATTGACTCATCGAACATGTGAAAGGTTTGATCAGAAGTAATAATAAACGCCCATGCTCGGATTAAATCTTAAAAGTTGACGTTATTATTATTACGTCAGCTGAATCAAGGACAATGGACCACAAATTTACATTAATAAAGTTGTCGCCAGTAAAATCTTGGAACGAAAACGATTGGCCGGTATTATCGGGCAGGTTTTGATAGTTTAAATCATCAACAGCTGATTAAAAGTCAAGAAAATAAAGCAAGTTGGGTGCGACTCTAGAGTCTAGAACTATAAATTGCTGTTGATTAAAGTTATAGCAAGCATGAGAGATGCTCTAAGTTTAAAGCTTGTCAATTGTTACTGAAACATAACGTAAATCGGACAATAGATTAAACGTTTTTTAAGTCTTTAGCCAGACTTTTTGTCAAGACTCCAGTATTTCGACATGTATGCGGTTTGTTTGGTTAAGTTGATTGTATCTGGAATGGAAGACTAACTTGGTATATTCGGTATTTTAGATTTCCTGCTTGTATCCTCTACAGTCTACATGATCCTTCCCTTCAACATTTTATAAACACTATGGACCTACTAAATCTTAAAATAGATAGCCTTCATAAACCTAACAATAAATACCCTGGCCCAAACCCTGTCTATGTCCCTAAACCTAATTAAAACCCTACGAATAAAGGGTAAATTGTCATGATGTGAAATGTTGAGATGTACGAAGTCCGTCAACCTCCTGACAAGGTTAATAATTTGATCAAGTAATATAAAAGTCAATAAAACACCGTATTTGGTTCCTTGCGGTAACGAATTAAGACTAAGAACAGAAAAACTCAGAACCAACAACTGCATCGTACAAACACGTTAACGTAAACATTCTAAATATTTTTTTTCACCTATGACCTATGTCAGTTAAAAGTCACGTGTCTTAAAAATGCTCACGATCTCTTAGCAATACAAACTGCACTAAACACTGAATACGGAGTTGACCTGCATTATCAGCATGGGAAAAACTCTGAGAATTTAGACCTCATTCGTGGCTGATACGCACAATTACCAACAACGTACTCTCTGAGCTGGCGTTTTAAAACATATTATTACATTTAAACGGAACATAAATTTGTTATTTGCAGTATACAAACAGCTTGAGTCAACTGATTCTAATATTGATAATCTGTAAAATCTATCACTTTTATGCGTCATACGGTATTTTCATATTTTACTGGAGATTCTTGGATTGTTCCACCGGCTTTTTGGTAAGCACGTTATGCGCATTAGTCGTGGTAAATGAAAAAAGCATACTAATACTTTTCGTGAAGTCTTGTAAATTTAAAAGTTTTGTAAAGTGAGGTCTGAAGTGGTCAATAAAACGTGCATCAATTAAGCTTGCTTTTAACGGCTACTGTTACTGAACACCTTCAGTCCTTCATGTTAAACCGCAGAGTTAAGAATTGACAAAATTTAAACAAATCTAGAACAATCAGGTCCTACTATCACTTTCTACCCATTGGGTAAACTACTCGGCTATTTTAATTATCTATGCTGATTAGTGAAAATAGAATAAGAATGGATACGAATAAATAAGGTTCAAATTGTTAAATACGTAATTAGAATTATCCAATCTATTAAAGTTAAATAGCGATAAAAATATAGTCATCTAGCTAAAACTTGAGACTTTTAAAGTGAAGCAGGGTAACACATGATTCTCAACTGTTCCGTCAAATAACACCTCAGATCACATCTTTGCCGATCAGTGAACCTCAGCCCAATGTGTCTCTCATACACACACACCCTGACCAACAATTCCAACTTATCTTTCCCCGGAACACACTCCAGCATCAATAACAGTTCTTTGATGACTCGCTGGCAGTGGCCCAAATTCTCCGTGTTTTCGTTCAGTAAAATGTCTCTCTCAACAATCGGTATCCAGTTCATTGGATCCTTCTGGTGGTGACTGATTCTCCAGCTTTTCAGGAAATCCCCGAAATTTGTTGCAGAGTAATGGCGATATCTCGGCAACAAATCATTCTCCAAATTCTTATCATTATTCCCACACAGTCCTCCAGTATTAACATTCCTGAAAACAGTGATATGAATTCCCATCATGTTGTCCCACTCGATAATAACATCACCACCGTACAACACCACCACAGTGGTGTTTCCCACTCTGTAGGCCTTCTTAAACTCACGTGACACCACCTCCCCCGTCTCCAGTTCCTTCCACAGCTGGTCACCGTGTATCCAGTAGTCCCGGTACACTGCCATACCACGTACTGAGTCGTGTACTGTAACTGAGTGGAGGCAATATTCTGACCCATCCCTAGAACAGGGCCTAAACCGACCAAGTATGTACCACCTGAAGTCTTGTCTGTCCATTGCAAGGATGAAATCACCCTGAAACCTGGATCTGTAAACGACTCCATCAAACGACCTGAGAAAGGATGTGCTGAGGATGGAACAAACAGGGTTTCTAATTTTCTCCAGTGTAACTGTGTGTGATTCCTGTATGTCACACATCACTGCTGAACACATGTAGTCTCCATCATGCTCCTCACTGAAGTCCAACAATTCCAGCACTGACACACTGGTCACGTACTCCTGAACATTTGTCTCCACAGTTGATTCCACTTGACGAGGTGTCAAAGTGCGAATGTTACCCTTATTGTCTTTATGTTGCCACGTTATTTCGGGATATTGCGAGCTTACCACGTGACACGTCAGGGATACTAAGGTTCCTAAAACACTGACAGTGGACGTGATCTTGGTACTGTCCCCCGCGCTGATCTTCACTCTCGGGTTCATCCGAGGAGGACAGAACCCACGTCGGAATATTGTTAGAAGTCTGGGCATAACATAACATTGCTGAGTTTCAAAGTGGCACGAGCTGAAGTAAACCCTGCAGTCAGAACCGCACATCAGGTCCATGGATGGTAACTTGGACTTGCAATGGTTCGGACACGAACAATCTCCATTTCTCTTATTACAGACCTTCGGTACTGGACATCTTGATCTTCTGCAGTCTTCGTGGGGAGTCTGAAATGTTTTGGGAGTTCATGATATGTTAGTTAAATTCAGACCAAAAATAAATCACCCTAAATTTGTGAATACTTTATTCAACAAAGATCCTTCGCGTTTTCTCTGGGCATGAAAATTCTGTAAAATCCGAAAGAATAGGCCTGTGTTTTACCTCTGTGACCTCCTCAACATAGTTAAGCGTAGGATAGGTAACACTGGGGAAGGTGACTACCCCGGAACTCAGCGTGGATGTAAGCAACTCCGGAGTGGGACTGGGTTTATTCCGGGCGCATTCCTCTCTTAGGTTTCTAAACCGTGTAGGACACTTCGAGGGGGAAGTACAGATCTGGTGTACTGAGCGTTTGTGGCAGGGCTCACACTGGGTTAGCTGTATGTTTGTTGAAAAAAGAAGCAGGAAAACGAGCATTACTCATAGCTTGAAGTGCACCAGGCTGTTGCTAATCCATCATCCTATGGATATGGGATGTAAACAAAAAGCAACGGAATAATTTTACTGTAAAGTAATAAGGGCTAATGACGATATTTTAATATTAACTCTGTGTAAAACCGACTCTAAACACCTCTCCCGCTTAATAATCGGAACTATTAAGAAATAAAAATGAAAAGTAGCTGAAATGAAACGGTCCCATCATGAAAGTAGGCGCTAAAATTGTATTACCAACATTTTATATTAAGCTTATCGTTTTTGTGATACCTATGATCCCCTATGATAATTAAATATATATTTAGATAATAATTATCGTTGGGGCACATCTCACATCTGACTATATAAATAGTCACAAGTCAGACCTGCATTATTTTACCCGGCAGTTTGGGTATTGATGTGTATTTTAAATAGTCGTATCATAGGTTCGCACTTCGCATATATAGTAGAGATATGAATTTAGCTTGCAATGACAAAGACGAAGAAAAAGAACGTGACTGATCAAAAAAGTTTTTATAAAAGTCTTTGACTGCACCCTTCTTAAAATTCAGTTAGTCGAAGAAGTTAAAATTATCTAGTCCACGAAAGATCGTAGTACTTCTTGACTGATCTATCAAGGCCTTCGGCCACGTTTGACGAAAAGGGGAAGGGGCAAATAAATGTGACATTTTCCGTATCGTAGGGAATGGCACAAATCTACTTTACATCATCTATACATTAATAATTCTAATGTTGTTCATATATTAACAATCATAGGGTAAATTCCAAAATAAAGCGTCAGCTCCATTCTGGGGCCTCCACATGAAATTAAACAATTACTGGTGGGTTGAACTAATGTTCACAAAAAATGTAAGACGATGAGAAAATTCTGAATAAAAGTTCACTTCAGACACATCACAGTAACGCTCTCGTCAAATTTCTACGATATTTCAGTCCACCCTTCAGGGTGGACTGAAATATGGTGGAAATTTGAAAAGCCCCCTTAGTAAAATCCTGTTCTAGGACTATGAGTGTGCAAATTGCATAAGGAAATTAAAATTAAATAACGAATTTACACTACGATCACACGTTGCTCTATCCCAATGTTAATTTTTCGGTGAGACATTCAAATATGTGTAAATACTTAGCCTTCAGTAACCTAACGTGTAATATAATATAAACAGGGTTAGTATTTTCTCTTCGCAGGAATATTTTAACACAATCCGAAGTAGTCAAACGTTTTAGGAATCAATACGAAACGATTCATACAGTCGGAAAAATCAAACATTCCGGGACTCCTCCTGAGAACCAGCAAATTTGGTGTAATCTAAAACCTGTGGGTATCCCGACTAATGATTATATACTTATAATCATCTACTTTTCAGATGTTGGATGACGCGATTGTCTGCAATATCGGTCACTTCGATTGTGAGATAGATGTCGATTATCTCAACACCAATGCCAAGAGAGAGCAAGTCAAGCCTCAGGTTAGTTTTATTAAAATGTTTTTCGAATTTATGGAAGTATGCTGGTGCCAATTGCAGATAGAGACAATGTTTGTTATTTCCTCGTCTCAAATTGCAACCCGGTCCCTAATAAAATAAACCTGGAAATTTCTATCTTATTCCAGACAGTAACATGATTAATCATAAGATATTGGATATATGAAGTCCTTCGAGTTGTTTCAAGCGTCTAGTCCCTTTCTCTATATTTTTCATGTTCTTTTAACCGGAAAATCCTCCAATCCAATAATGGCAGCTCTAATTGCATCGAATCATGACCAGAAGAAATTGTCCAGCAGGAAATTTGTTTCGAGGTGCGACACAAAATATTTAACGGATCATAAAATAACTCACAAAAATGAGAGAAAAACGATTAAAGCTGTGCTTTAAAAGGGATAAAGTTTCCTTTGTGGTGAACTTCCGACATCTCGTAGTGACAAATACGAGCTACATGTAGATTATAGCGGTCTAAAACATGCCACACCTTTTTGCAAAAACAGCATTTTTTCTGAAGAATCGAGTGCAAAATAAGACTAGGGACGAGCACAGAGGCCAAAGTGTCAGTAGCAGAACTAAGTAAGCCCACAAATATCATGAGATATTTAAAAAACTAGTACATGAGAGGTTTCCACCTAGTTGTACGGCAATGTGCTTAGCCGTGCTTGACTAACAGGCAAGTGACGTTAAAAATATATCGTTTTTATTTTCCCTCAAAATCAATGTGACAGCCTCGGAATTTTACGGGAGATAGGAATAAAAAAGACAGAAACTTTGCTTCGTGCATTTAATTTGAAAATTATCAATTTTCAAAAATAGATCAACACCCCCGCTGACAATTAACATAGCTTAGCTATAAATATTCTAAACTAAGACTAATTAGTCGTGTACACGAACAGTCCCAATATGGAGGCAGATTGTCAGTTAGGGCTCCTCGGCACTGTAGAAAAGTTGACTCTTATAGTTATATAGTAAGGGGGATGGATATTTAAAGGTTGGTTAAAAACTGCAACATCGCCGCCTCGCGTGAACAGCTGTCATTGTTGATATGTTCTTTGCGAGCTATGGTGTAAAGAAGTGTTAAGATCGGGTGCTTTTTCGCTAGCTCGATAGGTGGATTTCGTGGTAACTTCAGAATATTCCGTTTTAAGTTTATTTTATAGCGGGAAGTTTGAATTAACCCTGAACACGGGGCCAGTATTCGAGCAATCACTCACTGCCGTCTCGTGTCATGTTACGTCGCCTGGTACCTAACTTGAGGTAGCCTGAACAGTGATTACAGTGTTATATAAAATATATATATTTGTTTCTCAAAAATTTCCTAGGGAAAAACTGTCCATTCACTCTCTCCATGAAAAATCAAGCTACGGCCTAGAAACTACACAAAAACATAAGTTAAGAAATTTACCGAGGCAAAAGCATCGAAATCTGCATTTGACAGTGACTGGATGCAGAATTAGCTAGTCATGTATATGTCTTCAGGCACGTGATAAGGGGGGCTGGGGGAATCCCCCTAAGTTAAGATCAAAGGTGCAATATTTTAAATTTAAATGTTTCATTGGAAGATTTCATTCCTGAAAGGATATTTTGCAAAAATCTTGCAGTCTTCTTTGCCTTCATACTTTCTGGATTTGAAGGTTCCTGTAAATGTCAAATTTATTCATTGCTAAATTCCATCCCTAAATTTCGAGGTCCCCTCCGCCTGTCCCATATATTGGCATAAAAACTTACTACTAACAACTATGGCTTATTCATATCCGATTTCATAACTAAGAACCCACTCTTGTACAGGGTGTCCTTTCCATGCACCCTTTCGGTTGCAACTTGCTACTAGCGTCACAAATTCCCATTGCTACATTTCATTCATAGATATTAATCTAAAGATATATCGGGGCTTCAGCTCCTGTCCTTCTACATTAACTACAAGCTCCTGTCTACAAATACCATCCAACAAATGTTCACGATATTTGTCCTATCATATAGGTCCCAGAATTTTCGAAATAACTCGCTGCAGCTGTCATTTCTCATCACTATATTTCATCACATAAAACTATTTTTGAAAATGTTTACGGCTACACCCCCTAAACCTCAGATAGGCTCAACAAAATCTTGCTAGAACTTTATTTAAATTTTCTGGAAGCCTTTTTCCAAACAAACCTTCTCTGGAACTATACTCTATCGAAAGAGCTGCATCCAGCTGATCAACTTTATCAAAAATCCTAACTCATCCACGATGTCAACAGCCTCGACTGAAGGCCCAGTAAACAGACAATCAATAAGTATCAGTGTAGGATGAATGAACTGTACTTTCAGTGGGCCAAGCTAATGATTCAAACTGAATAATGGACATTGAACGTTTACAGAATGAGTCATGAGGCCAACTAAATAATTCCCAATTCCCATCAACATTTATCCTTTGCTCCTTGAAAGTTTTGTTTTAGCACATTCATGTCAGCCTAACTGCAGTTTCACATATTTTGGGTGGGAAAAGATTGTTTAGGATTGAATTTTATTGCTCATGAAAGTTAACGCAGCAGATAAAATTCAGTTACTTCATGAGACCTTTAGTGGAGGCAAATTTGAGTATCCACGTCAGGTTATTAAACTCGTTTTCCTGGAATTCCTAGATTTCTGCAATCCAGGTCTTCTTGGTTTCGCAAATCCTGCTCAACCGGATTTTGTAATAACTACATCCTAGCTGAAGGCTGTTTTGTTGGAATTCCAGTTTCTCTAGTCTCCAAATTTAATTACATATAAAATTATGACTTATCCAAACAAAGTGGTAGATCTAATTCTGCCTCCATTTACTGGAATTTCCCCATTTACTGGAATTTTATGAACCACCAGCAGTACGAGTTTTGATGTTATTCTAGGAAAATGTTAATATAATTTCACTTTTGTTCCAAGTTTCCGACTTGTCTGGAATATTTACAGTTTGCTAAATTTAAAAAAAATGTGTCTATACATAAACAAGAAAAATACCTGTTTAACCAAATTTGAACAGAAGAATGTTTGTCTAAGACTAAATAGAATTACAGGACTATTTTTGGATCAGTCCAGCCTCAAATATATATTCAATTATCCGGAAATATATATTCGATTTCGAGCGAACCCTGTCTTACCTGTCGAGCAATTTGTATTCCCGAAACTTCGCATGTAGCCACGTCGAAATATAATCTTTAATTTCAAGTTTCTTTGGAACATTCCGGTAGTTCAAAGCCGGAGGTAAACAGGACCGGACAAAAAAATGCTCCTGTATAATTTTCTAACTATCTCCCTTGCATCAACAATTTGATTCCAGAAATCTTGCAAATATCAACGTCGCAAGAAACTCTTTAATTTCCAGTTTGTTTAAAATATTCCAGTTCGAAGCCCATGCTAAACAAAACTGAACAAGATATCCTCTTGCAAAAATTTCCAAGAATTCCTCCTTTCCCGCAGCATATTATGTTTGACCTGTCTATTCCCAGTCACCAGTTGACCCTAAATCCTGATCCCAATATATTACAGGTTGACAGATATACCCTAGACAACGGCCGACACGTCATCATCTTGGCTGAAGGCAGACTTGTCAACTTGGGATGTGCCCATGGACATCCTTCTTTCGTCATGAGCAACTCCTTCACCAACCAGGTCTTGGCTCAGATTGAATTGTGGTGCAACCCTGGAAAATACAGCGTTGACGTCCATTTCCTGCCCAAAGAGGTTTGTAATAATATATGATACTTTCTACTTGTATGAAATACGTTTTACCTGCTTTGCCAGTTCACCTTATTTATTTCAAAGTTTAATCCAACATCTTTTGTGTTTAAATCCGACATGGTAATCACACCAACCAATTTCAGCTGGATGAGAAGGTTGCTGCTCTGCATCTCGATCACTTGGGAGTAAAGCTGACCATACTGGAAGAAGATCAGGCAGAGTACATTGGAGTCAAACCAGAGGGACCTTTCAAGCCTTCATACTACCGATACTAGGAACTTTTAGTTTGAGTCATTGATGGTCAGAGATTGCATGATTATAGATTATTTTAGCGTAGAGAGAATTAAGGGACCTCTTTATTTTTATGGTGTCGAATTGCCATTTTTAATCGATCATTTTAAGCTTTTATATTTATAATGATATTTTGAGCAGATAAGAGTGTTTTACTTGTCCATTATGAATGGTGGAATAAAGGTTCGTTTCAACGAATTACACAGAAAAATACTTAACCGCTAATCAAGTTTTGGCGAATGCCGCTGCTGAAAAACTTAGCTTCACGATAGAGTACCATGCGGAAAGGTCTACTGACCATAAAAACGGACGGCACGGAGCTACTAAATCTATTGAAAGCCCTGTTGCTTAACACCACCAAAGCAAACATTCCCTGTGCACAGCACTGTAGGAACAAAGACTCTTCGATATGATCAAAGGCGCACATTGATTATGTTTAGTTCAACTCTAGCTACTACACGCAGAACAATTCTAATTGGGCAAAATTCAATGTACTGTGGTCAATATTGCATACATTGTAGATATAATAGCAAACGATACTCACTGTAAGTAAGGCTTAGCGCGCACAGCGCACAAATTTGAGATTAGTATTATCGATAGTAATTCCGTTCCATTGTTGAAACCGAGCTAGTGTTCACAATTAAATTCAGCCAGTTCAAAGGCAAACTATGTTATCTAAGTGTACGAAAAAACTAAAATTAAATACCAAATATATTTATTGATGATTTAGGACGTTACATTAAGTAACAGAAGGAACTTAACTGGTTTTATGTAGGCCCGAGGAGTCTTAATCCTCCTCGTCCTAAGATGACGTTTCTCTTGTGTAATAATTGTGTCGCACGGTGGGACTGGTAGTATCATGAAAAGTCGCATATTTAATAATTCTGGACAGTCACGTAGTACAGTATATGGTATATAAAATAGCCAGCAATGAGGCATGGCAGACAAAGCCTCCTCTGATGATAGCCTTGCCTGCATGCCCCTGAGAAAATGACCCAAAAAGCATACATTATGTCTCAAGGGCTATTTCTGTGCCATGTGCTCAGGATGCCAGATCACGGATATAATTATAATGTGACAAATGCTCCAAAGTCCAATCTTCCAGAGGCTCCACCTGTTATATTCTGGCAGGTAATCCTGGCTACGGACCGATTTTGCGCCAAGTTCATCAGAGGATTTAATTAGAAAAGGTCTAGTAGATACTAAACATTTGCTCCATCCAGAGCCCTTGTGCTTGCAGTGGCGCGAAAGCACGTGGTCGGTTATATTAGGTGAAACTATAAACATATCACCCACTTTCTTGCAGGTTTATATCCTACCAGGACGCGCGCCGAGTTGGACTCGTCGACGGTAATATTTGGAACAAATATTTTACGAGTATCACCCGTAAAGGCTTTTGTATTTGATTATCTTAAAATTTATTCCGCTTTTATTTTTATTCCCACTCTCGATTCCTTGCTAGCAGTCCGGTTAATTTAGTACCTTTAGTGGGTCTCATTTAATCATTAGCTCTAATTAAAGAACCTCTCACCCTCTCAGAAAAAAAAAACTCCGTTTGGAGATATTCCTTATTACGCTCTAAGCTAATAATTTTCCTTGTGTTTGAATCCTGTCACTTTTTAGCTGTTTTTAGTCTTTGTTATTTTCGGCCGATTTCTGCACTTTTACACTGGGTCATCATGATCATAATTTCTGGGATTGAGACGACTTATAGCATTTAAGGAAGAGTTTGCTTGTCTGACTTACTTCATTAAACACTTCTGGTCAAGAACTGAACAAGAACCACATTCGAAAACTGGAACATCTGAATGACTCCGCAACCCAGGAATCAACTACTCAGTTATTATCGCTCAATTAAATAATCGGTTTGGTATCGACGTTACATACTTTATTATTTTTTTTAAAAAGCTGATTTTAGAAACCAGGGAATTAAAGTTACCCTCCTAAGGCTAACATTAAACGCTGATTTTATTTATATATATCACTTTTTTTGTTCTTTCTTTTCCTTCAAAACATTCCAGTACATTGTGCAGAAAGTTGGAGATGAAGCCGTAGTACGTACATGTAGCATTGCACTGGATCGAACTTGCAGAGTGTGGTTTCCTCCAGTCTGCGCCGCGCGCTTATATAAACATACGCGGCGCAGATCGACTGGAGGAGATTGCACTGTGTAGGCTCCGGTGTAATGTGATATGTATGTACTACGGCTTTATAAATTTTGGAAGTATGTAGGGATATATATCTGATACCAATCGTATATACTAAAAATACTCTAGCACAATTGTAACTGCAGTTTTACAGAACTCTAAATGCTTAATGAACACTCTTGCAGGTACCACCCGTATTCACACTCAGACCTGAGTTTAGTCATTTTCCAATACGAGATTGGGGACGGGTTCTATAAACAAACAAATATGTATGTACTACGGCTTTAACCACTTTCATAAATATTGATGAAACGTTTTTGGATCAGGGTTGAGTGCGCGCGTATTATATATAGTAGTGATTCGTGGGGACACTTGATTCACATTGTAGTTATACTATACTCGCTGCTCAGTGCACTGACAGTAGACTTTAAAAACTAAAATATACGATCATTTTAAGTTATTTGGGCGAACCGAATGACAGAAAAGCTATGGCATATTATTATATGGCATATTATTATTATTATATAGCATATGGAGAAAGAAAATATACTCATTTTCGGGTTGGTTCTGAAATAACACTAAATTGACACTTGACAGTTACAGTAAAAAAACTAACTATTGACTATCAAACTCAATTAGACAGTAGCACAAGAATACTCGTCTTGATATAAAATGTCGAATGATTAAATGAAATGGATTCCGATCCACAGTTATTAGAGTTTAAGTTGCGATGGAAAATGAAACATTGCGCTATTTATTATCGACTGTGCTTTACTGGGAAAATTTTTGATTTTATCAAATTACACACTAAGAGACTATTGAACTACATTTAAGAAAATAAATCAAAAACCTCAATCTGAGAATTTTAAAAACCTATGACTATCAATTTTAAAAGCTGAGAAGGACATTATTTAATTAATTACTAGAAAAGTAAAAAACTATTCATCTAAAAGTTTGGTTTTGCGCTCTACAGTAAGTTTTACCCAGGAAATATTTCGGTTTGGACGTTGTTGGGGGGTTCGAAATAATTTAAAAGTTTTGTGTTTGGACAAGAAACTGCTCCCCACACTTTGCAAGATAAACTGATGCAGTCTGCTGATCAGCCAACCCTTACATCCCTCACTGCTGACATGATAATAATTACACAAATACCGCAGATAAAACTCTTTCTGAATCCACAGATCTTCCAACGTCATCAGTTTCAGAGGTCCGGATAGGACAGTACAGGGTCTGGGTATTGAGGAGGACGGCCCATCTGAGTCCTCGTCGTCAGCATCTGTCACGTGACACGGGGCTTTCCGTTTTCTGCACCGCTGTTTCCGCTTCTTCCTGTGCTCCGTCAGCGCGGTAACCGGTATAAAGGTTTTCTTGATAAAGAGTTGAAGTGACACTAGTTTAGATTGAGCAGCACACCTTGATTGAACAGAGTGGAGCCAAGAGGCAGGACGGTCATCGTCCACAAAGTCAAACGGACACGAACTTTCAGTCTTTATCTCCACTTCATGAGATGGGTGTATATCAGAGCTAGAGTTCATGACTTCCGGAAAAGGCACTTCGTAAGATGATTGTATATCAGAGCTAGAGTTCATGACTTCCGGAAAAGGCACTTCATAAGATGGGTGTATATCAGAGCTAGAGTTCATGACTTCCGGAAAAGGCACTTCATAAGATGGGTGTATATCAGAGCTAGAGTTCATGACTTCCGGAAAAGGCACTTCATAAGATGGGTGTATGTCAGAGTTCATGACTTCCGGAAAAGGGATTTCATGAGATGGTTGTATATCAGAGTTCATGACTAGGTCTTCGGGAAAAGGCACTTCATAAGATGAGTTCATGACCTCCGGAAAGGGGCAATCTAAGAGCTTGGTTTCAACGGGAACCAAATTAGCTTGAGTTGGTTCAGAAGATTCACCATAAAATGAGTAATCCTCTTTTTTGAGGGTCTCGGTTTGATTCTCGTTTGTGGTATGAAAAGACGAATGGTCAGTTAAAACTTGGGGCGCTTTGTTGAATGCATCATTCAACATTTGTTTAAATCCGTTGATTTGAGGTTTTTCAGCTGCTTCGCTAGTTTTCGTACCCCATATGTCATCGAAGATACCACATAATGCGTGTTTTCGTTTCATCTTGGTCGGATTCTTTGGAATTTTCTTGTCCTTGGAATTTGATAAGGGCACAGACGGCCCTTTTAAGTCTTTACAAACTGCAGGTGATATCCTAGTGATGAGACTTCCAGGCAAGGAACAATTTTTGGGCGCTTTCTCTGTCTTCGCAGTTTTCTGGGCACCCAAAGTTGTGGACGCAGTTTCAAAATCTGGATACTCTAACATGCGATCAAGAGGGACCGTCAAGATTCGTTGCTGCCTCTTATTGAATATTTTGGGTTCCACTAGTTCAAGGCTTTGGCAGACTTTTTGCTGTTTTCTGCTTTTAGGACAAGCTTTAACAGTGTTTCCTGAAGAATATTTGAGAGGGGAGTTCTTCAAAGACCGTTTGTCATTTTGCAGCTCATTTCGCTTCAGGGACTCTATCTGGAACCCGGAATATCTCTTGCTTTTGACTCGACGTCGTTTCCCCCGATCCGGAGAAACAACCTGAAATGGTACTACATCAGAGATTGAAACATGCAGTTTGTCGTGCAAGGTATGGTATTTGCACTCAATAGTCAATTGGGTGTATCGTGGCTTAAATTAGTATCATGGGTTATGTATGCCAGGGAAACCTACCATGAAAATCACATGGTTGCGCGCACGTACCTACATATACCCGGCAAAACAAGCATTTGGCGAAGAAAAATATTTTCTGTACAATAAATCATTTTCGCGCCGGCCGTATCCGTGAGGAATAACATTGAATCTGGTACCGACAGAATATTTGGGGCAACCACGCGTGACCCATTTAGATAACATGGTATGAATATTCAATAATCATTCCAATGTCAGAAATCGATGAAACAATATTATCATAAACTACAGAAAGTCCTCAAGAAACTACACACCGACAAGAAGATCACGACCGACCTATACCACAAGATGCGCAACCTACATCCTAGATGGCCTCAACTTTACGGACAACCTAAGATACACAAACCCGGCGCACCTATCCGTCCCGTAGTCAGCTTCTACAACACCCCCCTCCAAGCCCTCCACAAAGTCCTCGCATCTTTCCTCAAACCCCTAGCCCAGAACCCCTTACGCCTCAAAGACTCTTCCGACTTCAAACATCGCTTCGACTCCTCTCTCAATCCCTCCTTCCACTACCACGCCTCCTTAGACGTCCAATCCTTGTACACCTCCTGTGACATGCGCCTAGCCCTCAAAACTGTCATCTCCTCCTTTGAACAGAACCCCTCTCGTCTTCCCTCCAATGTCACCACCACCACCATAGGCTCCCTTATCAACTTTTGCCTTGACAACTCATACCTTGAATTCAACGGCTCCTTCTACTCCCAAGACGAAGGTGGTACAATGGGATCCCCCCTCATTGTTGAACTAGCTGAAATCCGTCTTGCTGAAATCGAGACCTTAGCTTTATCCTCATGTCCTGACCCTCCGAACACTTACTCCCATTTCGTTGACGACGGCCTTGGATCTTTCAGAGACAGAAACCACGCAGAATCCTTCCTTACATTCCTTAACTCCCTTACTGAAGACCTCAACTTTACCCAAGAACATCCCTCTACAGACGGAACTATACCCTTCCTTGACGTTCTCATCCACCCTGACAAATCCACATCAGTCTACAGAAAACCCACCCACACCAACCTCTACACCAAGTACTCCTCCTGCACCACCAACTCATCTAAGAACGCAGTCATCCGATCCCTGACCAGAAGAGCCCACAACATCTGCTCACCCCAACACCTTGACGACGAACTCCAGACAGTACGACACGTTTGCCTCCAGAACGGCTTCCCTCCTCACCGCATCACCACCATCATGGACGAAGTACAACGGAAATTCACCAACCCCTCTCGCCACCAATCCCTAGCCTCATTCAACCGACAGACCCGTGAACATGCCCTTAGTGTTTCTCTTCCTTTCCATCCCTCCCTATCCAAACCCATCTCCAAGATACTCGGACAACACGACATCAAAGTCACCCACTCCTCTGCTACCTCCCTCCGCAACCTCCTCACCAAAACGAAGACCACACCCCCTACTCACCTCACTCCCAACACCATCTACGAAATTTCCTGCTCACAGTGCCCCTCCAAATACGCCGGACAGACCTACAGACCCTTGGTCCACCGCATGAAAGAACACGAACGATGTTACAGACTCAACAACGCCATCGACGAATCCACAGACAGAATCAAATCAGCCCCTGCACATCATGCCCTGACCACCGGCCACACCATCTCCTGGAACAACATCGAAGTCCTCAAATCCCTCACCTCACGCTCCCAACTTGACCTCACAGAACACGCAGCTATACAAATACGACAACCAGCTATGAACAGAACAGACCGCGCACCCAAATGTAGTTCCCTCTGGGACCCCATTCTTCCTAAAATTGCCAAATCCTTAAAGTCCAGACCATCTGGCATTTCCTTCTCAACCTCAACAGAAGACTAAATTTTTATTGACATTGTACTGTAATTTTCACTTTCCCACCCACACCTCCCCCACCCTCCATCCCTGACACCACTCAATCACATATAAGCATTGTCCACCACATCACATTCAGCTGACGACGATTAACACATGTTTATTGAAAGCTTCCACAAGTTAAATCATCGTATCTCTTATATGTTTTTAACCCAACTCCACTCAGTAATATTATCATATTGTACAATACATTTACATTTATACAATACAGAGTACTCTTCAACAGCTAGGGGTGAACCACTACTTATCTAAACCGTTCCCGCTCAAAACCGGATTCCAGATCCCGTCTAAAATTTGGAACTTAAAGAGGAATAACTTCGGCTCCCAAATTCGAGAACACATTTGTTTAGGTTGTTGCATATATCTCTTTGCGCTATCTTCGTAATTAAGTTTGTGCCATCTATTATAGTTAACGGACTAATTAGTTGCAGGTGTGAAAATCAATAAAAACTGTACAATTTCCCCACATCCAGAAAGTTTTATATTTCCTCCCAGATGCGTTTTTTTCTAAATTCTGTGGCATAAAAGCCATGGAAGCAATTTGGTTATATAGAGTATATTTCACTGTGTTCCAAAACTGACAGGATGTTCCTCTTTGATTTTTATACAATCGAAACATTTTCTTCAAAAATTTCCACAATTAATTTGTCTTTATTCCAAAAAAATATTTCGAAATTCAGGAGTAACTTCTCAAAAATGTCCTCTTTTTCCTCCCGTTTTTTCTCCCAAAAAAAATTTCCTTCCAGGATGTCTGGCAAGATGGCGTGTTTCTGGATGTGTGGGACAATTTCGGTCTTCCTCCGATCGAAATCAAACTTTTAGCACCTCAATCATGTCATATGCCATCTATAGTTGACTGACTAATTGGTTGCAGGCGAGATATTCAGTCAAAACTGTAAAATTTCGGCCCTGGAAATTTCATCTTCAAAAACTGAAAATGGGACAGAGAATGCAACAATATGATTTTTCAATTTTCTTATGGATTTTGACTTCCAGTAGCTAAATTTGGTTTCATAACATCATCAATTAACTAGATTAATTGGTCTCCGGGCAAAAAGTCCATCCAATCTGTCAATTTTTTTGTGTTCAGAAATTTTCATATTTGAAAATGGGACAGAAATTGGAAAATATATGAATTTTCGTTTTGTTAAGCTTTCTGCGGTGAGCTTCCTCCGACCGAAATCAAACTTCAAGCACCTCAATCGTGTCATATGCAATCAATAGTTAACGGCCTTATTGGTTGCGGGTGTGAAATTCAGTCAACACAGTCGAACTTAGAGGCTTCTCGAAGTTTAGTGTGTGTCGAACTACAGTACATACAGATTACAGGGTGGCCCAAAAGTAACTGCCCACACGCAACCCTTTAATAACTCACGTAATTCTTCTTAAAATTGCACAGAAATTTCAGAGATTATAGATACGTATGGGTCAAACTTAGATTTCCTGAAATTTCGTCAAATTTAATTAATTACAGTGGATGTGGCACGCCAATCCCTTTTTTTCGCTATTGTCACCATAAAGTGAGAACGCTTTCAGCTATGAACTTCAAAGTTTCTAGACCTGTTTGGTTTGATAATTGAAGTGCTTTCCCAAAATTTCAAGTTGGTTGTTCAACCGAGTTATGACCCTTTTAAGATATTGCAGATACGTGATCTTGGCACTTAATCAGTGATTTCGTCACCCAATCAGTAATCTCATCGGGAGCTATTCGCTAGCGAGCAACAATGAGACTCATTAGAGACTCATTAGGTATAATACCTTTGCCATCAGCAAAAAAATTCATGTCGTTTGTCACAAATCCACAAATCCAGTATGTTGTGCATATTTAAAAATTTTAAACATAAACTGAGGCTTACCTCATGAGACTGGGTCTTCTCTGCATTTTCTGGAGAATCTACCTCGCGTTTCTGAAATGCAGTAATAGTTAGTATAGATGATTCAATTAAATGCTCACCAGCAATTTGTGGTTAAGACTTAAGAATAGAACACCGTACCCGGTGTGGTTTGTAGTTGTCACAGTGAGTTCCAGTTGACATAAATTACAATCAAAGCAAAAGGATTAGAGGTTCTCTTTGTCTTCTTCCTCTCCTTCAAACTTTCAGGAGCCTCTCTCTCTCTTTCTATATCTCTATGGACTCAGACTTTCAGGACTATCGCTGTCCAATCTTACTTTCAATCTAGATCTACCGTTATAATACTGTAAGAGGTGATAAAAAAAGTCAAAAAATGTAGTTCGTATTATAATATGCTATACCTGGGACTCAGACTTGAAGCTTCCTTTAGTGTAGAATGCTTTGACATTACGAAGCAAGTTCCCTTCTTTTTCCTCTGACACATTACTCATCTACCAACTCCATCAAAATCTCACTAGTAAATTGTAAGTCATTGGATCAGGTTGTTTAGAGGCAAGAAAATCTCAGCGTACACGAAATGGATTTAAACAGCTATGAAAAATAGATTACTAGGAACCGTGATAATGTTACGTCCATGAAGACCTTTTTAAAAAATCGCTGTTAGAGATTTCAATTTGTAGCATTGCCCGCCAGGAACCATCGGGTTACTTGTATCACTGAATGGAAACCGTCGAAAAGGATGTAATTCTTATATTTGTTACATCTTTCCACGCTGATGATAACACAGGCTATGATATCAGTTTAACATAACCTACAAGACTACTGAACGGTATGAAGTGAAGACATACTGGTTAAGACAGCATTTAGGAATTAGGATTTCCCATGAAAATGAGAAAAAGCGATGTTACAACGCAAGGGTTCTTGAAGTGGAGAAAGGAAGCTTCACACCTTTAGTCTTCTGGTGGAATGGGTGGTGAAGCTGAAAGACTGGTTAAGAAGCTGGCCAGTAAGATGGAGTACCACACTGGCCAGAGGTACTCGGATGCTGTAGGATACATTAGAAAGCGCCTTCGCTTTGAAATCCTAAGAACAACAGTGATTTCTCTCCGTGGAGACAGAGGTGCGAGAAAAAACATTGTTGATAAAAACAGTCTAGATCTTAACTTGGAGCCACAAGGCCAAGGGTAATTTTTGATTGTTAAGGAAACTTTTTTAATTCTTAAAGGGAAGATTTTATATAGGGTCATTGCTATATTATGTGTATATTGTTTGAATAATTTTTAGTTAGGATGACCATTTACTCCCTTAGACTGAAATGATAAATAATCTTTCGAGACAACCAGCAACCTCGCTAAAAACCATAACCATTGGAACTATATCGAATATTGGACAGTGTAATATATCGCAAAGTACGAAAACAAATTAAATTTGCGAAGCTTTAGGATGAGTGACTTGCTTATATAAATACAAAATCACGACATTTTGTAAACTATCCCAGAAGAGAGGAGAAGACTATGCGGCTATTATGTGTTACATGCGCACCAGGATTAGATTCTCAATCCTCAGGAGCACCCTGATAGCGGTCAGGGGTGAGAGAGGGAGACGGCAATCGTATACATTGCCAGTCAGTGTAACTTCGTTTAACTTGATACCTGCCACCATGGACTATGAATGTTTCTAGACACTATCCTTTTGATATTGAGATATTGGTATCTCAGATCACGTGTACATCGTTCCTTTTTTTACGACACAGTAATTTATTGACACTCACAGCTATAATTTTAATCATTGAATCAGTTTTTTTTATCTGTGCTCTGCGAATGCATCACATGAATCAGTTTTTTAATCTATTAACTTATTACACATTTGTGCTCTGCTTTAGCATCACTTGACTATTTTAAAAAAAATTGTTTGTTCAGGCCATGACCTTATAGTCAGCCAATTGGCCATTGCTATATTATGTGTATATTGTTTGAATATTCTTTATTCTAATTCTAAAAAATCACGACATTCGCCGAAAGATGGAGAGGGCAATTAAATAAAATAGCAAACCACCACAAGCAACCAAGTCAAATTACATCTATAGCGTCCACGAAAAGTAGGTGACCACTGCAACTGTCTATTGTGATCACATCGAGGTGACGGATGCCGAAATAGCAAACTTGACAAATTGATGGTTGTAGCACAATCGAATGAAATAGTAGCGCTCGATTCCATATTTTATTTGGTAAAGCGTACAAAGTCAAATATTGCGCGGCGCAATAGCACAGGCATTGAATATATAGTGAAAGATTCAAAAACAATTTTTTTGCTTATAAAATATCTTAAACTATTTATAATTTTATACAATCAAATAAAAAGTAATTTTTTTATTTAAAAAGTTTAAAAAAACTTGTATTAGTAAAAAAACTTCATGTTACTTATTTTGCTGTAAAGTCCGCGCCGCGCAAAGAATGATTGTTGAAGGCGCAAATGGCCCTAAAATAGATATGCAAAGAATCGAGCGCTGATACAATCATCACTGATTCAACAATAATAACTTTTAATTTTCAATTAAGTATTGTATCAGTCGATCCTATTTATTTTTGATTGTGCGTTGATTAAGAGAAGTTTTGTTCATTCATAAAACATAATTACAGTGCTCATCTTTAATTCTGTGAACGGATTTTCACTGCTGATGTTTCGGATGTACAAGCAGTGGCGTAACGTTGCCTGTTGGCACCCCGCTCGAAAAGCGCCCGGCAGGGTCGTCGGTGCCCTTCGTTACGCCACTGTGTACAGCAGGGTGTCATAATTATTGGCGCTTAGACAATTTGGCGTAAAATTTTAGCTCACCCAAGCTTTTAGAAACGATCATTACTTGACTTCTGAGGGTCAGTTTCCTATGGAGTCTTGATCATTCGAGAAATAATCCTTCATACTACAGTTCAGTCTAAAAACGAAGTCCGAAAGAAGTTAAATTTCGTCGATAATCACGACGAAAGAGAAAAATTTGGATTATTGGACTTGAAGCCTTTGGCTGCTTCCCCTGAATTCCGGGATGAGTCCGCCTGACTATATTTTATTGCGTCAGTTAGAGGAGAAAGAGAGCTTTTATAAAATCTAAAGTTTTCTATATGTTTCGCTATCGCCTGAAGAGCTGTGCACTTTAGTCTAAAGAATAATTTCAGAAAAAAATCACCGAAAAAAATTACACATAAATCCCTTACTCCTTCGTAAATCTAACCAAGTATGGAATCGACCCTTTAAATAACGGCCTAAATTATGGTTTTTGAGGTACATCAACACAAAAATTCTGAAATTAAGAAAAATTTCAGACGATTGTTTACAGACCAGTTTTTGAATTTTGTAATTCCGATATTCAGAAGTAAAGTTATGACCCGTCGAAAAATATTGATTTCATCATAAAATACAAATAAAATTTCAAACACGCCAATAATTCTGACACCCTGCTGTACAAGTTTTCTATCATGAAGTGTCCCAAATGGTTTCTTGGCCACTTAGAGTGAGTTTCAAGTGAATTCACCATTTTGAGCTACTTCAATTAGTATCTCGAGTGTTCCTATTGCAAATAGGTTGCCTTGAATGTCGAGAACCTTAGTCCCTTTGTTGGAAGTGACACAATTGATTTTCATGAGAATCATTGCTGTGCTGACTTTCACTGCCGAGAGAAAGAGAATTCTGCGAAAGAGAATTTTGAGAGTACTAGGTCAGAAAAAGGGCTGTGCATTACTTTTACTCTAATGAGTAATGAGGAGTCTTCATTCACTTGTTTCACAAAAAAAACTTTATCTTGTCTGATGGGAATCTATATTACAGAATTACCAGTAAGATGCTTTATTTGGTGGTTATCTTTGTACATTTATTGACAAGAATCGAATGAATTCTGATGTTATTCTTGGTTTATAGATAGAATACAGATGGTAACGGAGACAAAACAATATCTACAAGTTGCTGAGGCAGCTTGTGGGTAGGGTGATTCAGCGTGAGTGGGTTTAGCTCCCCTTGAGTGACTCAAGGGGTTTTTGTACTTTGTACAACCACATATTTTTTTGATGGTTCGTCCTTTGTAATATGAAAAGGAATCAGTATAGTTCAAAATGGAGTCTACCTAACAAATTTGAATTTGGAATAGAAAAGTCACTTTGAAAATAATTTTGTCACTGTTGCAAGGAATTTATAATGAACTGGATATAGCAATGAAAAATGATTCTTGGACAAGATATATGGGCACTTGATAGTGGGTCCCTTCCTTGGAGATGCAAGGGATTCTCTTACAATTGCAAGAAGAACAACCATGTTAGTAAGAATGTTCAACAGAAATCAATCAGTCATAAGAATTTCAACTAAGATTGTATTCTGCCACATTGTCTTTCATTTTAGATATGCCTGAACTAAAATTTAAATATAAAATTTCTGTCATAAAAAGGATTATTCTGACACTAAATCGTTGACTTATGAATAATGATGTGATGGCAAAATAGGTTTCAAAGTTAAAAAAATATTTGTCTTCTCTCATAATATGTATCTTCTCTTTTTTTTCAGGAATGTTGGAGGCAGGTTCCTATTCAAGCGGGGGTCTCCTTCAATATGCTTGATGCTGCTTCGACCTGTGTTTGGGCTGTTGACTTTGAATACCATGTGTACCTCTTTGTAAAGGAATGTGACATTCCTATACGATTCCAGGTTTGTTAAATGTGCATTCTATTTAAATCGTGACTCACTTAAAACAATTCGTTATTCTTTAATCTGTTAATTAAAAACGGTCGGCTTATCGAAATAAAATATTCTTTGTCGCAGTATTGGTAGATCAATTTTTATCTGACTACAGTCAACAATGTCGCTATTGACCAATTATCGATTGTCCGATCAGGATTTCAGGAATTAATTTGTATCGAAATACTTAGGCTGTTCACTTATTAATCATCATGCATGCAGAAGTATTCTATCATTGAATTGTTTGTCAGGATTATAAGTTCCGCTTTGAGCGCTGGTTTTTAGGACGTGGCTGGAAAACAGTTGAAAGGGATGATGAATCTCCAAAGAGGAACTTGTCTCATCACTGGACTGCTGACAGTGTATGGTAGGTTATACATATTATATAGGTTATGTGGTAGGTTATGTTTCTTTTATCATACTAGCCTGTACATTATTTTGTACGTTAATATTGTATGTTGATACAATGAGATTATAATCACGGTTAGCTTTTTGCATGGCCATTGTTGGTTACGTAACAGTACATACTACTAGACAATAGACATCATAACCATAACTATAAGTAACTTTAGATTAACTATAAGCAATACAGACAATATACATTGCTGTTACATGCTTAATGATACTTCAAGTTTTTCCTTACAGTAAATTTACAAATTTATTTCCTCTCGACAGGAGGATAGATAGAAATATAGATGGAGTCCCCACTGACCGTGATGGATGGCAGTATGCGTCAGGTTTCAACTCAGTATTCTCAAATCAAGAAACTCAAACAAAAGTCGTCAGACGAAAACGTCTCGCAAAATACTACACGTGAGTAGTTACATTCATTTGTAATACAGCTTTTCTTACTTTCTTAACAGCACTGTCTATATTCTCTGCTCTTTCTCTTGCCCACCACTTTTACTTTCTCAATGGAACTGTGTTAGTTTTCACCACATTAAACAAATTCTTAGGTATAACAAGATGGGTAACTTCGCTAAGATCACAGCTGATGAAGAAATCAAATTTATGGACGTTGCTGCTGGAGGCACTATGTTAACGGGTAAAGATTGTTTTGTTATTCTAGAAGAATCAAGTATTCTGTCTAATTTACTCTTGTTGTTTACTAGACTAATTCAGAGAAACTGGGCTCTGAATTACAATTTACTAATTCAATTCAAAGATTACTTACTTTTATTATCCCTGCTCAGCCTATAAGTTATATCTACCGTTTTTTAATTCCATTATCGTACAGGAAGTGAAAACTGGCCTATATGCGTGTGGGGTGTATCAAAGGAGTGTAAAGTTTACTTCAGAACAAACATCAGTAATATAAACCCTGAGGGAGACAGGTGAGGTTCATACTTAATCACTTAATTAATTAATTACTTAATCAATAATAATGCTATTTCAAATTGGTTACATTATCGAGTACGTTTTTGGTTTTGATTTTGGTTTAGGGAGAAACTCACCAGATAAGTCCAGGATCGAAATCAAAGTATACAGGGTGGCCCAGAGTAATAATGTACATAAATATAATGAGAATGACCGCCCTGTATACCGGACAATTCGGCAGATATGGGACACACTTAATCGAGTACGCTGTACGTACTGCGTTCTGAATTGTAGTAGCACCACCTTGCTAAATGAATATCTATCGTCTCTGTTACATCTAGGCCTCTAATTACTCATGGGTTCAATTATGAGATAAATACGTGAGATGCGTCAAGGTCCCCCACCATTTTGTTATGAAATATACACACATTTCGGAGATTTAAATTGTTGCACTTTCGTTTGACTTTAAGTTGCACTTCAATCTTCATACAAATCATCTAAAAAGTTGCATAACAGCATGTGGGCATTGCTAATACCTGATGTGAAAGATTAGCTCCCAATGATAAATGCCTAAATGGTTAATGAAGTCACGCCTGTTGACTGTTCGTGAAAAAGCTGAGATTTGTTATCTTAAGTTTCGGTTTAAAAGTATTTAATTATCTTGCGAATTGGGACCTGTAATTAGAGCCATGGGCCATCTCTAAATAAAGCTTTCGATACCGAACACAGGTAAACATTGTTTGCTAAACATTCCTTATCTTTGGAACCATAAAATTAAATAAAACATTTAAAGCATATTGGCATGACCCCTTATCACCTACTTAATTTAAATCGTTTAAGCTTGAAACTTTATTCAGATGGAAGGAGGTTTGCCAGCCAGATTTCAGTCTCGCAAAGCTAAGTGTAGGGCCTCGAGGTCAACTGTGGGGTATTACAACTCAAGGGGAACTTATCACTAGAGCGGGCATTGATAGTGACAATCTAACAGGTAAAGGGAGTTCAATCGGATATAATTAGCGATCTTGAGCATTATGTAATATAGAATTATAAGTATAATAAAAAATCAATGAAACTTTTATGCAATCCTCTTATCCTCCGTTTTGAAATGCTAAGTGCTCCCTTGACCTGTAGTCGGCAAATAGGTACAATACTGACCGGCTATTAGAGGTATGTTAGCGTAACAGCGTAACATCCGGTCGGCATTGTACCTATTTGCCCCCGTAGTCAACGGGAAGTATAAAATTAGCTGACATTAATGAAGTATCTTGTCATGTTCGTGTAATTATTAAACTTTTCCATACATTGTGTTTTAGAAGTTTCCACCCCTTCCTCAGGGACTGAATGGCTGGAAATTTCAATCTCAATCCCCGGAATGCAAGATATTTACCCCACAGCTCTGACAGTGTCAGCTGACAGTGTCTGGATGATAGACTGCAAAGGAAGGGTAACTGCCAACCTCTTATCTGAACTCACTTTCGGGTTCACATTTATATGATCTCATACTTTATTCCCAGAATATAACAATATACGTTGTCCTTTACAGGACACAAATTAAGCACCCTTTTTAGAGTTGTAATTTGACACTTAATTGCGTGTGTGAGTGCACAGTTCAAGATAATGTACCATGTGTGTACTGTGTATGTTGTACAATATGCCAGTACCTCTCAGAATAATGTATTAAATTAGATAATTCCAATTCCTCACCTCTTAGAATATTGTATTTATTAAAATGATTATAATATGTATTAAATGTCGGTATCCTACTAACTCACTTGCCAGCACCAAAATACCTTCGAAATACCTCCAAAATACCCTCAAAATACCCTCAAAATATCCTCAAACTGATCGCATCATTACCTTGGCAGGTGTTTTTCCACAAAGGAGCAGATCTATACGTGCACAACACTCTGTTGCTGACAGATAGACACGACACCCGCTCCACATCTAAGTGGGTCCACATGGTTATGGAGCCAGATAATATCATCAACTTTAAATCTCTGTCTTGTGGCCCCGAAAATCAGGTAGTTATAATATTTAGAATTTTGTATTTAAAAAAATTATAACTTATAAATTATTGAGCTCGTGTAACTTGGCCAAACTCACTGATTTTTGTCGAAATTTTGGACCTCACCCATTTTGTAATTAACTGATGAGAGCTGAGTTTAGTTAATACATTGTTTCAAGCAATATAAAATAAGTCCAGTTCTAGACTGACCTCCCCTTTTCTTATCTTTCTTATCCTCAGCCCGTGTTCCAAACATTAAATTAAGATAGGGCCTGATTATTGCTTTACATCATAAAATATTACAATAATATAATAATATGTTATGTAATGAACTTTTTAACATGTAGAATAAATACTGAATAATTTAGCATTTGTTATTATTATAACGAATTGTTCTATGCGTACATTTCATTGTTTCTACTTTCCTTAAAAACGCTAAACCCAGCAGAGTTGCTCCACAAATTTGCACCACCGTTTTTTGTTGGACAGATATTTTCACTTCCTCAAACTTTCATATTTTTGGAACAGGTCACAGCAAATTTTGGGTAGAAAAAACGCTGCAGTCCATACTCCAACGCGCACACTATGCCGCGCGCTGTGCCTCATGACTTGATTACGTACATGTTTTGTTTGGATCTTGTGACTCAACATTTTATATGAAACTGTTATGTCATCCCAAAAATACAGTGATAAATAAAACTGACAATCACGTTTCTCAACAGTTCTCTTCAAAAACTAATTAATGCTTATGGAAAGTTAGTTTCTTGAAATTTACGATTGCACCAATTTATGCAATTGTTCAAGCTCTTTCTATTCTACAGGTCTGGGGTCTCGACAATGAGGATAAAATATTTAATAGAACGGACGTCTCAATTACTCAGATATCTGGCCAAAATTGGCAGCTCATTGAAGGTAAACTTTCTGGCGAAACGATACTTTCTTTATGCCCAATATAGACCCTTTGGCTTTCCAGACATACTTTTTTGTTAGTTTCAAGTTTAGGGTCGAATCTATGAAGCTGCACTTAGTCACGCGTTGTGTGATTAGTTTAGTCGAATCAAGCTTTCAATGACCGTGATAACAACCCCCTAATGTGTAGAGGAAGCAGTCGTTATATTTGTATGCCAATCTTAAGATATGAAAATGTTTGTATCTCTATCAGATCCGAAGCTTAAGAATGGAGATGTGGGGGTAGACTCAGATCCAGATTCAGACCAAGAGTTGAACTCCACTCTTCCGCCCTGCATGCCATTCAGTAGTCCTCTCAGAAGAGACAGTTCCTTCCTTACAGCAAAGTCTATGTCCTCCCAGTATACCTTGCCCGTTGATCCCAATTATTTACCTAAGTACGCAATGGACGAGCCAGACAGGTTTGTACTTTGTAATATTTGTTCAGTCTAAAAATTTTGTTTTTCTGAGATCAAGCAATTAAATGCTGACCTGAGATATTTCAATGAATTTTAACGGTGTTGTACTAAACCTTTTTTGTTTCTTGAATCTTGATTCCCTCCCAAGTTTGACAAGTTAAACTATTTGAATGAATTTAACTTAATTATCAGGTACAGTTATGATGAAGGGTCAGTTGACAGTAAGAACCTGTGTGAGCCTGACGACTTGTTTCATGACTCCGATAGTGATGTTTTAGAGGAGCCATCTGAACACTCTTTGACCAGTAGCTTAGGTATATGGTGTGGGAGGTTTAGGAGTGGGTTTGATGGCGTTTATGATGTTAATGTGAATTAGTATATTTGGAATTATTGATAATAGTAAGATATACATATACATTATACATAATATGTATACATGAATATTTTTTATTCTTACTTTTTGTTTTGTTTTCTTTTTCTACCAATCATTCCTCCACTCCAGGTGTCCACTATTGGAAGATGATATCCTGTGGTGGTTGTCAGGGTGTCGGTGTGAAACGGGACGATGTGAACCTCAAACAAGCTGAGCTTTCAAAAGTACAGATTGCAGTCATCAAGCAGTCACGTGATTCCATCCTTGACAAACTCAGAGAACAGAGCATGAAGATCAGGAGTAAACTGTTTGACAATTACAATGAATTAGTGGACGATGGGGGCTTCAAACTAAAATCTAACGCAAAGATAGAAATGGACGGCGCTTCTAAAAACGCCACTGTTTATTTGTCAAAAAACATCCCCCATGGTCACCTAAGGTTCAGGATATATACCCCTGGTGCTGCTTCATTAGACATGGGCGAGGACGATCAGCGGAGGTTGGGAAGAAGAGGAAGGATGCTCCAATATGAACCGACTGTAATGATAAACCAGACATCCACAATAGAACAGGTCGAACAAGTGCCTCTAGTAAACTTGTTCGGAATTAAGAGAATATCTCCAAATGTGAAGCAACATACTCTTCTCCTTTTTACAGCCAAGCGATCTTACCAGTTGACATTTGAAAGAGACACTGACTGCAACAACTGGTTTGACCGAGTTAACGAGTATGTCCGTTCGGTACATGAAATTCCTGATGTCCCCCCTAATCAATCTGTCTGGGCTTTGTCAGGAGATGGAACTGTGTACTTTTCGCCTCCTGCTCCTTCTTGTGTTACCAATCACTCTAAGCGAGCCTGGCTTCCTATTGAAGGTAACTTTGTACAAATAGCAGCCGGACCAAGGAGCATAGTCTGGGGAGTTGCCCCCGATAATAACCTTTACTGCTTCACTCGTGGGTATGGTGGTGGAAGTCATCATATGGGCGAAAATTTGGAGAACTTTTCAGTTCAGAGACACTTTCAATGCACAGAGAATGAGAGATTTAAACTGGTCGGCTTCCAGTTCCAGCCTTGCAGCGGCCGAGATAATAGATCGAACTGGGTTGATGACTTGGGAAACACTATTGAAAGCCAAAACCAATACAGACTACCTCTCTCATCTTGGCGGTGGATCGGGGACTGGAGCGTCAAAAATTTAATTGATAGCGACCCTGATGGTTGGTATTATGCGAAAAACTTCCACAGTCCGTTCTCAGCTAATCCAGGTCGAGGTGCTAGGAAGAGACATTGCGTGAGATTAGCGCAGATGAACTGCACTGCCCCGTGGAAGAAGATTCCTGTCAACTTGGTATGTCTGTACTGAGTATTTATAGTTGTGATCTTGACTGACTCTTAGCAGATTAAAATTGGAAATTTTGAAAAATGTTCTTGTACATTTCCTTTCAAATTAAACGTGATATAGCTATATCTGACATATCTTCTGAGCAGGCTTTTATACTTCATAAATAAACCGACAATATAAGTCGACCCTACTCTTGACTCCAGGTTAAAATAGCCCGAATTACTTTGGAGCCGTATTGTTTTAAAAGTGGGGACGAGCTTGTCGTCGCCTGGGCGCTATGTACGAACGGCAGTTTACTGTACAGACACGGTGTTACTCCTAACAAACCTCAGGGTGAAGATTGGGTATGCTTTAAAACCTTCCGAGACATCCTTTTCAAGTTTTTCACAGACTTTACTTCATCCGTTTAGTTCCAATAACTAATACTTCGCACGTTTGTCGACAGATATAGGTTTTAGAGGGCCTCTTATCATTCCAAATAATCAGGTACATGTAGATATAGATCACCCTTTAGTGGACGTATCACTGGACGCCTTTTGTAACCTGTGGGCGGTGTGTAGTGATGGTAGCGCCTACTTCCGTATGGGGATATCGGAACAGGTTCCCATCGGTAACCGCTGGATGCACATTGTCAAACCAGAGCGGGATCATCTGGTAAAGATAGCCGCGGGGAAGTATGCTGTTTGGGCCCTTGGTTCTACAGGTTTGTGCATGTTGAGATTGTCTTTTCCTATCTTAATGTATAACAATTTTGACTCAGATTACTCGTCGAAAAGGTATGTAATCATGGGCGAATTTTCTTATTAAGAAAGGAGACTTCAATTTAAAACCCTCAGGAAACTGTTACATTCGAACGAAGATAAGTTCTATCCGCGAGTACGGGCAATCCTGGAGCTTGGTGAATAGTGAGCCTATGTGTAGTATATCAGTGAGTGGGAGTGACCAAGTATTCGGTATCACAGAGGTGAACAGAGCTGTCGTTTCAAGGGATGGTGTTTCAGGTGAATCGTAGTTAATCAGTGACTTAAAACTGAATAGTGATCATCTTAATTCTTTATGTGTTCCGGCTAAATTGACGCATGCCTTCAGATGTCACTTTGTATGTATGTATTTGTAAAGTTTCTTAACTGTTTTCGGTAAACATCTAAAATGCCTTTCTACCGATTTAATATGAATGCAACTGAAGTTATAGGTGACAAGTTAAAGGGAGATAAGTGGAGCAGGGTGGTCCAGGATGTTTGGTCCAATATCTGTATTACTGCCACCACTCAGCAACATCATTGGGATCAGGTCAGTATTCGTACAGAACTTCTAATACTCTAAAACTACAACAAGGACATGCAGAGAGTAGTGTATCAAAAGTATTTCCAGGTGTTTGTCCAAAATCGGTCTATTGGTTAATATTTAGTAAATGTTACAGTAAAACCGCTTCAGATTGATGAGTTGACGTCTATGGCAATGACAAGATACCGGACCCAGATCTGGGTGAAGCTCAGAGAGAACCGACTGAAGGATACTAGATGGATGGACTACCACAGATTTTGTCCTCAAATCTTTCCTGGCGATCGTGTTTTCATCCGAGGCAGCGATGGGACTTGGTCTAGAAACATAATTGATCACATTGGTGCGTAGTTGGTTGTGATGAAAATGTACATACTTAATGCTTTTTTTGTTACTAGGAGGAACCCGTCTAACCCTAAAATAGTTAAATGGTGTCAAGACTCAAAAGACTAAAATAATTATTACCTATTTGATTCGAGCTTTTGACACCACTTGGGGGTCCAAATTTTGGGCACTGAAACTCTTATTCCTTGGCCAATTTTTTATTCTTTCATGCTGATTTGAAGGCCATCAAAGCATTTGACCCATTTAAGTTAAAAAAGTTTCAGTTTTATATCTTTTACGGTTTTTGCGGAACGTCGTGTTAAAGTTGATGCCGTGGTGTCAGTAAAATGGTACGGATATACCTATATATATCGTCTCGCTTTGTATATAGTAAGATGGCAGTTGCCAGCTAAGGCAGTTATTAATTAGCGGAACAATTCATCATAAGTTGGATGTTTTGAATCCGATCATGGTTCTATAAATCACATTAGCAAATTCTCCGTTGAACTACGAAACATACTCTAATTATTTTTGTATCCGTACGCAGAATCTGTAAGTGCTGAAATTAACATTCGCAATGGTGACAGAAAAGCAGTATTGATAATCTTAACTGGTTACCAGGCACAGACAGAGCGCTCAAAGTACGTGTTCCCGGACTCTTCACGACCACGTACGAGTCAAAAGCAAAGAACGATGTTATCCGGGACGAGCCTCCCCACCCAACCCATGTAGCCGTGGGCACAGAAATCCTGGCTAAACTCTCCTACCTGAGCAATAAATATTCACCTTGTGTCGTCAAGTCTATAGATCACAGACGAGGTGTGTAGATCTGATATTTTCATTGTTTAGTTTTCCTTTTACAGTGTTTAAAGCGCCATGCAATGGTCGATACTTACTAGCATTTAATCTCAGGTAAGCTGATGATAGAAGCTGGATCTCAGTACGATATTCACGAAGTAAGGATCCCTGATGCCCAGCTCAATTCGGATATCTATTTTCTTGATGGAAAACGTAAACATTCTGTAACTAATGACGAATTTGGCAGAGAAATTGTAATTTAGTTGTTTTGTTTTATTCGGAGATTATCAGTTTGCAATAAGTGTTCACATGTTCATTGTTCATTGATCCGTGCTCATGTACAGTACACTTTACAATTTTAGATTTAGAGATACGTTTAGATTCAGATTATGTTTTTGAGTTTTGACATTGTTTTGATACGATATAAATGATTTTGTACTATGTTTCAGAAAAAAAATCGTTTCTATATAACACGCATCCAGCATCAGCCCAGTTAAGAAAGTTGCTAGTTAATATTTAAAATATCTGTTCTGTCTTAAGTCATTTATTCAACAGAAAAATTATTGTTCCTTCAATCAGTTGAAAATGTGGATCAAAGTATAGGTCCGTAATGACTATGTGCATAGCATAGAAGCAATTCACAGCTTGGAAGATCTAAGTTAATTGAGAATAATAGTGATAAACATGAAAAGAACAGCCAGTCTCAAAGTTTCTCCCGGAGCTGCTCCATTTGATTTGCACGTGCGAGAAGCTGGAGTCAAACCCCCATCTTTATTGCAAGTGAGTGTGTTTCCCTCTCCCTCGATTTTGTGTTTCTGGAAACATGTCACAGTAAACTTCTCTCCCTCGTTCACTGTATCAGAATCTGGTGTCACATCTCCGTGAGCTATGGTCGGCTTCTCGCATGGTACTGGCTTCAAGGCACCGATATTGTCAGCTGCATCTCCGATAACCTCAGCTCCTGCTTCAGTATTTCCTGGAGGGTAATATTGGCACACCACTTTGTAGAAGTACCAGGTACCCTGGTCCAGTGTGATTGTCCAGCTTCCTTGTCCACAGTTTAACTGTTTAGATATTTTCCAGAGAACCTGGTTGTAAGCGTTAGGACTTTCCAACTTTTCTCTGTACCAATCTCCGGTTGATTCGATGTAAGCCTCACTTTTCGGGGTGTATCCATCAGATTTTCCTGCGTTGTCAATATTCTCACCAAAAGCTTGTCCTACACTGTGATCATCTTTCTTGGCCTCTATTGCTGTCTCCTGAGCATGTCTGTCAGCAGTAAAGGTGACATCTTCTCCTGACTCTCCATAGCATAGAGGATCCGTGTCCTCGTACAGTGCTCTCAGTTCATTGTGTTTGTCCAGCACCGCCTGCTCCGCTTCAGTAAGACTATCTGTTTTACAAACCCCTTCAGTTGATACCAACATGCAGGTGAACACCAGTACTCCAGCCACTATCTTACTTTTCATTACTTTAACCAATCTGTACAGGAAATAGTTCATTATTGTACTTCTCATTTGGCAAATATAACAATTATACCAACTCCTGTTTTATCTTTTAAATCAGTACGTGCTCAAATCAAACATCATTCTTACTTGGGCCAAAACGGGGAGTGGGAAAATGTTGACAAGGTTTTACTAAAATGACTATCGGCTATTAAACTTGGACGCGATGAATATCAATCTAAGTAAATTAATTGATGCGATGAATAGGCGATCAAACACTATGAAGCAAACAAGTTTTATAATTAGTACTTGTACTTGTAGCTATTGAAGATAGAACTCAAAACTTAGCTAACGTTAGCTAAGTTTTGAGTTTAAACATGGGCTCGCCACGCGACGGGTTCTCAAGAAAACGGTTGGCTGAGCTTACCAATCTTTATTCATGACATCCATTCAGCGTTGTTAGTGGTATATCATGTTAGCTAACATGATATACCACATATAGCTTCATTCAATTAGTATGAGTTAGTACTAGTACTACTACTACTTATCGTAAGTCATTCTAAGTCTAACCTATACTGTATCATTATAACTTATACAGTATAATTATCACGATCTACAGACGACGATCTTCGGGCCGAAGGCGAACCAAAGAAACATGGAAATAAGGTCCTGACCTCTTCACTCTTCTGATTTGTGGCTTTTCAAGAATCAAGACGATAATCATCTTCGACTTAAGATCATAGGCGAGATATTTATTAGGATAGATAATTCATAAACAATAAAGCTTTCTAGTCTAAAGACTTATAGACTATTACTATTATATATGCATAACATACCTACGTAAAAACTATTATATATGCTTATTATATTATAAACTATTATATATGCTATATATGCTTCACAAAGAACGAGTATATACTACATTTATAATATTAATAGAGGGAGCTGAACTGACCGTTTTCAGAGCAAGTGGGAGCCTGCCACGAGGCTTAAAATTACCACGTGACATTAGTTTTTATGGTTTTGCAGCCGAACAAAACGGTCATTCATAAACCCTAATCCCAACCCTAACCATAACTCCGAAGCTACCCATGACCCTAACCACAACTCGGGCCCTAAACAATCGAATTTATGTTTAACTAGCCTGTCACGTGACCAAAACAGATTTTTGCCCATAACTCTCCAGGGAAGCATTTCTACCCTAGTCCTACGTCATGGGGTGATTCGGAATCAGCGTCCAAAAATACATCGACTTATATTACTATACTTTCACATATACCTCAAGATCAATGTTTCCACCAATCAAACAACGAATGAGTTCCAAAAATGTCCAACTAAATTTTTACAACATCGGTAAAATATTTTCGTCCATCCTCTGTAGTACCCATCAAGATAAGATGGGGTTAAAACTAAGGTAATAACCTTGGTATTACAATATAACTCGCCAACTGAAAATATAAAAATCGTAAAGTCTAGTTTTTAAAATCGTTCCCTCATGAAGGTTATGACAAAAAACTCGACACACACAAACACTAAGGTGATTGTAACTGCAGTGTAAGGATCCAGGAAGGCAGCCAGAGAAGTCCCCACTACGCTCCCAACCATACCCGATGATTGCGTCACGCTACTTCCCAGATCTAATTTTGACTTTCCATAGTAATCGTAATCAAATATTAATATAGCAGCTTCCACTGCCTGTATGGAGTAACACATCTGTGCCAGTCCTAACATAGCCACTGAAGCTACCAGGCCAGGATTTGCCAGAATAGCACCAAAACTCACAGCCATTATTAAGGTGATTGTAGGTTGCAGTATCACGAACCTTACACGACTCCAAAGAAAATACCCCAGTGGTCTCCCTATCATGTTTGATGCACCATTGACTGCCGCCAGAATGAGGAAATCGTTACCTTGCACCATTTCTTCACAGTTACCACCTTCACTGTTGAGAAGAAGACTTCTTTTGTACTTTCTTAGCAGCCAAGGAAGAAGAATTATGCTTCCATATCCAAAACAGAGGTGACAGAAGTTAAACAGGCTTGATTTAAGGACTCTTGCGGCAAAATTCGGTACACTATGCGATGCCGTGTCAACCAGTTTGTCACTTTCTGTCGGGGCAACATTTCTTTCTATCAGCTCTAGATCACGTGATTCTTCTGTAACTTCCTCCGGCGTTCCACCAATGAAAAAGTGGAGCATTATGATTGGAGGAACAAATAGTGGAATAGAAGTCAGCAGAATGAAGACTCTCCAGTCCACGAAGTCTAGGATCAGCCATCCTAGTAAAGACACCCAAGTTCCTCCAGCAGCGAAACCAAATGCTTCTGCAAGAAATGTGACTTGAGTGAAGACTTCTTTGGAGGAAACAAGCTTGGCTAGAAAAATCCCAGTTGTACAACTGTTCAATCCAATACAAATACCTGTTAAAGCTCTGGAGAGAAGAAGGGTGCTGTAATTTGGAACCACCGCACATATGAGAGCAAACCCAATGGACAGATAGAGTGATAAAAGCATTGTAAATCTTTCCCCCAGCAGTTTTGAAATCGAGACTGAAACCATGATTGCGATTGCCCAAAAGAAATACATTATAACTGCTAGGATTCCTTCTTGAAAGTCCGATATACCAAGGTCACAAGAAACTGTCTGACTTAGGATTCCAGGGAGGTAAGCCTCAACACCATCACCGATCTTTACCAGGACCGCCAGTGAAGCGATGAGGTAATCTTGTTTAGTCCACGAGTGGGATCCGGAGGAATCACGAGCGGAGGAAGGAGGTGGTTTCTTGGTTAGCTTTGTTTCGTCGGACATTTCCACAGGTTGCTTTTAGTTCTATTTATTCTACTACTGACTGATCGAACTTGACTTGAACTTTGAATAAAAATTGTTAGAAATCATTACGTAATCATTTTTGACAAATTATTAACCACCCCCTCCTCCCCTGCGTAATCAGTTTTACGCATAGCTTGATAGCTATCGAATTAAATTTACACTAGTGTGATTATTAATATTTAGAAACCACCTCAGTGATTACGTAATCAGTAATATAAATATGTGATTACCAATTACGCAATATAAATAATAAATATGTGAAAGACATAGGCCTAGGATCAGAAATTCAAATACAATGAAAATTGACTAAAAAACTAACCCTTCGATCATGTCACCAAATTGAAAATTCAGCTCGCAAATGGAATTGAAAACTCGCGATTTCTACTTTTAGTAAGGTTGTACTTGTAGAAAAAGGAAATCCAGAAGATGTAGCATTTAGGCTTTATATAGGTGCGGACTTCGAAAAAACGAATTTGGATAAAATAAGTTTTGGCAAAATTCAGGTATTTTTGCTGGGGGGGGGGGGGGGGGCCAATGGGTATTTTTTTGGGCTCTTACTAAATAGCTCGCCCAAAAATTTCACGTGACTTTGGTTTTTTTGGTTTTGCAGCCGTACAAAACGGTTTTACATAAACCCTAATCCCAACCCTAACCCTAACCATAACCCCGAAGCTATCCATAATCTTAACCACAACCCTAACCCTAACCCGAGCCCTAAATAATCGAATTCACGTTTTACTAGCCTGTCACGTGACCAAAACGGTTTTTTGCTCATAACTCTCCAGGGAAGCATTTTAACCCTACGTCATGGGGGGTGATTCGGAATCAGCGTCCAAAAATACACCGATCGAGATCACTTTCATGCCTAGAGGGCCTTTTCTTGATTGACGATGTCAATCCGTCGAGATCGTTGCTCTGCGAAGCAGAGCAACGATCGTCGACGGATGCGAAGCAAGAATGCTAGTTCGCGCGGCGCGTCGAAGCGGCGAAGTCCTCCAAGGCCTTTTCACAAGAATTTTCTTAAAATTTGGGCGAGCGATTTAGTAGGAGCGATTTTTTTGTTAAACTTGATTTCGAGATATAATAGCAGTTGACCAACA